ATTATTATTATCTGGAATTAAAATGTGAGTGAAAGGCAATTATATGTTTTCTATTATTAACCCCTCTCCCTAACAAAAGAACAGGTAAAAAGTTAAGACAGAGAAAGGGCCTGTGATAGGAACGTGGCAGTACTTGTAAAGACAACCAAGCCAGGTCTGGGGTAGAAACTGTCAGCTCCCCACCCACAAGGCAGAGTGGCACTGTGGGCCTTCTCTTTGAGGGGTGTCTCCTGTACCATTTTCACAGTGACTGTGACAAAGAAACTCACCGACTGATAACACAGATTAAGTCTGTGTTAATCCAGCACACTGGAGCGGTATGCTAGGCAGAGCACTAAGCCTGGCCCCGAATTAGGCAGAGACAGAGAAGGGAACAATGGCCTGATTGTGGAAAGTCTTAAGTCTGCGTGGGCGAGAACTGGCCTCTGCCACACTTCTGTTGTGGGTGTATGTCGTTATTACCCCCAAAAAACACTAACTGTTCATAACCAAGAAGGAGGGCTTCTAGGCACACTGGATGCCTGGCTTGCCAGAAAGAGCTTTTTTTCAGGGCACACTCAGAAGCACCAAGACTTGCTGTTATACAAGGGCATTTCAGCAGGCTTCAAAATTGATCTTAGATTTCATTAAACAAACCCACTGCCACAGAGCACAGACACTGATCCCCATCTTGCAGCTGTACAGAGGGCGACTAACCCAAACATTTAATCCAAGTCTAGCCTCTCGACTTTGTGGGACGATGACCCTGCTGATGGATTGGATAAGCTGTCCATCTGCTAACTCTAAAGCTCCGTCCCAGTGCCAGTGAGGGTGTTGTACTAAAACTGTCTTTTAGTTTCTTGTTCACTCAAGTTTGCAAAGTAATTCTCCAGAATGTGCAGTCTCTGGCCATGTTTGTTCCGCATGCAGTATTATTTGCCCCATAAGAGAAATAAACCCATGACTTCTTTGGCTGTGCTAATACTAATAGCATTTCCTTAACTTCATCCATCCCTGTTCTACCTTCACAATTTTTGTCATCCTGGTAGAGCACCTGTGTTCTTTATTATTTACCTCACTCTTTTAAATCAACTTTGTTGAGTAAGATTTATTTTTAAATCACTAACATGAATAGAAAGCCATTATCATCACCAGATATAAAAGATAAATATAACAATCAATACAATATAGTGCTATTAAGTTTTACAGAAAGCAACCTAACGGGAGTAAAAAAATTTTTAAATAAAAAGGAAAGAGGATAACTTCCTCGCTCTGATTCAATATTCAAAACTGCTGTTTTGCAGTACCACTTAAAACCTTCTCTAGCAGTGCTGGTGGCGTATGCCTTACACTTTGGGGGAAAAAAACTGAACTAAACAGATAATGGTACAGTACTGTGATGTAAGTCGAATTACAGCATAGACTATAAAATTCAAATTACTAACCCTCTGGGCAGGACTCATGATGCACTAAGAAAGTCTACCCTACACTTGTGGACAGCGAGATAGTACTCTGGGGTAGTACCTCTTCTCACATATCCAGAAAGCATTTGTCTCCAAGAGCTAAGAATCACTGAGCAGAGAAAACAGACAAAAAGTCCGGGCATGAAAGCGGATGAGCTTCACCACAGAAAACTGCATCAGACCTTATCCTGAAGCCTGTAGTACTAGCTCCCTCCCTTGAGCAGGGAACATTAGGAAACGTCTAATTTTGCTTCTGGAATCAAAGCCGACTTGAACTTCAGTCAGCTCTAGCCTATTACCCTTTAGCCAGGAATATCCTGGAGGTTTCCCACCTTCCACATGGGCAGGTGCGGGACCAAGAGAAACAGCGAATCTGGGCTCAAAGCCACAGGAAGCTGCTGAGGGGCTGTTAGGAGCGGGCCTGGGGGTGGGGACGGCTAAGATCTCCTCCTCAGTGTGTTTGGCATCCCTGGGGAGCTTCTTAGCAATGCAGCATCTCCAGACCCACCCCAGACCTACTGCATCAGAATCTATATTTTAATAAAATCCAATGGTAATTCAGGGCACGGTCAAGTTTGACAAGCACTGATCCAAAAGGGCTTGAGTGGTCTGACACCAACATCTCGTTTGCCTCCCTCCTCGATGGGCAAGCGACACTTTCTGGAAAATCAGGAACTGAGGAAGGCAACAAAGGTCCTACCACGACAGTGGCCAGTGCTGGCCGTGGCCCTGCTACAACCCAGGGACTGGGCAGGAAAAGCCTCTGATCACGGAGAGGGCCTTCTCCGCTGGGGCTGCAGAAGACACACGGGGCTCCAGACATGAACCCCAAACGCTTACAAACACCTGCATCCATGCGAAGTGCGGGTCCTCCCACTGCCTCTCAGGCTGCAGACTCTGTAACTTTGATTCACCTACTCAGCTGCCTAGGAAACTCACATTAATGGGATTTTATGGGCCAGAAAAATGAGAGAGGAGACATAGGGAGATTTGCCTGACCTGGAAACAGCTCCAGACCCACGTTCCTGTTGGTTATAGTAAAACCATGACCTTGTTCTGCTCTGTCATCTGTGCAGTTTTTTCACAACCACAAAGAAAGGTCCCTCCACCACCACCACCCCATTCCCACCACACACACGAGCCAGAGCAAGGCTTTGCCAATAGGCGAAAGGGGAGTTTAACTCCCCCAGCATTTCTACAAGAGCCTGATTAAAAGGGAGCAGATCTGAGGGATCCGTCACAAAAGTCCAACACCTGCAGAAGGAGAGGTTGAAAATGAGGCGGGGAGCAAAGGAGGGTAGGCATCCCAGGGAGATAAAACACTGTGTGACCTGACACGACTACAGTGAAAACTCACCTCCTCTTATCAACATGCTGGAAGGTATAAATGGACATGTGGAAAGAGGCACGTAGCCCTTCTTTCTTCCTCTGAATACTTGAAAAGACACAGCTGATGTGGAATCTGGTAAAACTGGCCGCTGACAACGCTGAATTCCCACAGAGCATCTCTTCCCATCAGAGTCAATAATAGGACTGCAACCTTCAAGCTTTATGCGTTCTCTGCTCCCAGATAATTAAAGCCAATACTTCTCCTCTTTCTCAAGTATTTCTGGACCCCTGCTTCTCTTCCTTCCTAATGCCAATTTCAAAATGACTATTTGATTTCTTGGGATTGTGTGATTTCAGCGACCATTTTTCAAAGTCACTGCTTCCCTGCAGAGTTCATAGCCAGCCAGTCTTTTACAACTGAGATCATGGCTAAGACAAGAGAGAGCAGTTTCAATCACATACGCCTTAGGTAAGGGAGACGCAGGACAGCCCTAGAGGCAAGGCTGGCCTCAGAGGTCCGCCCCCTGCCACACTGCAGTGTGAGGGGACGCTGCCCATCAACAACTTCTGCAATGAGGGCAGGGCTGCGCTCTGTACTTCTTGCCACCCCTGTACCAGGGTAGCCAATACCTAGGGTGCCCAGTGACCGGGAGCTATGGCTTACGGTTGGCTTAAAAAGATGAGTTGGGTCAACCAGGCCTCATTTAGAAATGGCAGCCAGATGCCACAGCAAGGGCACAGGCCCAGAAGTGCATGGTGAGAAACCACAACAAACCAGGTCTGCCGAGGCCAGTTCCAAAGAACAGAGCACCCATAAACAGAAGAGAGAGGCCAAGAAACCACTGAAATGGTGTCAGATGTGGACTCCGGGGCAATGCTTTTAGCAAGTCAGCTCCACCCCACACCCCATCCTTACCATCAAATCCCTTTTACTTAAGCAGAGCTGACCCCCCTGCAACCAAATAAGCCATTGTAAACAAGCCTCCCAAACTAATTTTTTTTCACTCTTTCTAGTACCTGCAAGGGAAGAAATAATTCTCATGACAAATAAAGGTAGACGCTATATCAAGAGCATATGGCTTGGCCTAAAGACAGTTTCCAGTGGATGGGATCTGAGAAGTGGTAGCAATTTAAAAAGTGGAGGGTAAAACCATTCTTTCTTCACCATGTTTTCAATCAAGTACTGATTATTATTGCTGCCTTATAACAGTGACCCACAGGAAAATACTATTATCTGGGCCTTGGGGTTTCTGCAGAGGACATCAGATTGAAAGAGCCAGATCTGAGGGTCACTGAGAAGGAACCTACAGATTTTTGTAGGAAAGCAAAACAAAACACAATGCGGGTGTGTAATAGGAGAGACAGAAAAGGATTATCATTTTTATAAACAATAGATTACATATGGGCTTATCCACAGGACATTAAACTGGAGTTCTTGCAAGGACTGAATTCCATCACTAAAGACAGGACTCCTGGGAGCTGCCACTTCAACTTGAAGTAATTAATCAAACATGCTCCAACAAGCCATGGGACCAGCCTGCCCGGGGAATGCTCTAAGGGCTATAAAACCCAAGGTAAAACCAGGGTACCCATTTAAAAGTGAAAGGTTAAACAGGATATAAACACCCTGCTAGGGCGTTCACTTAAAAGGAAGCAACATTACAGTGAAATCTGAAAATCGGAATAAACTCACAAATATGCCACACAAATAATTCAAGTGGGCAGACCTACCCGGGGCCTAATCAGAACCAAATGAAACTGACAGAAGTATCTGGACGGCAAGCAGGTCTGTTCACTGCAGCAGGGAGACAGATTCCCAGGGGAGCAGCCCAGGCAACCAGGCCATAGCCAGGAGAAACCAACCCTTCCCTAGGGCGCTTTCCCCGCCACAGCAGTCCCCCGAGATCTGGAAAAATGACCATACTAGTAGCCCTCAATGTCACCTCCAATCAAATGAGGGGGCAAGCTGCGGATTTGCCAGTCCGCAGCTCCACCGCTGTGAATCAGACTGAACCAACTTTGAGAAAGTTATCGCCTTAAAACTGTCATGACATTTTGGGTAAATACATATGAGGTGACTAAAGTATTCAATAACGGCATTAATTTCATCCCAAAACATATACATAGCTTTCCTCCAAGAACATTTATCCAGCCATATTTACTGAAAATTGTAAGCACCAGCATCAGAAGAGACAAATGAACAGTTCAAGTGGAATCATTTTTTCTTACCATTTCGGGACACATCAAGTTCCACCAGCTGCATGAAGTTTGCTATTTCTGGAGGGAGCCGCTGAATTTCGTTATCGCTAAGTCCAAGCTTTCGTAACTTGACTAGCTGGAAAAATTGCTGAAAGACAAAATAGTTTCATGTAGGTCTCACATCTATTTGCAGTGTAAACTTTTTGCCCAATATGAAATTTAAAACAATATGCCTTTTAAAAATTAGTGACAATTGCACCAATGTCAATTTCCTGATTTTGCTATTGTACCAAAGACACGTGGCGATGTCACCAACAGGGTAAACTGGGTACACAGGCCATCTCTGTGTACCATCTACAATTATTTCAAAATTAAAATTTTTTAACAATGAATAAGTAACTCAGTGAGAATAGTAATGACTCCTTTATATTATCCAGTAGTTGCTCACATTTTCTACTTACGGAACCTGATATGACATCTGCAATGTTAAATAAAGATATCTGAAAATTAGAGTAAAATATTTCTTAAACATTTTTAAAAGAAATTACTGTGCATCAGAAAATATATAAATATCCCACAAATGTGTGGAGGAGAAAAAAATTATTTTTGGCCAATCTAAAAAAGAGCCTGCACTGGATCCTTCCATTAACCACGGCACACAGAGGTGCCTTTTGCGCCACACCCTTTAAAAACTGTACTAAAATAGCATTAAAGGAATTTATAGGGAGATGGATATAGATATAAAAATATGAAATAAAGGCATGAAGACAATTCAAGGTGAGAGGGAACGAGAAGCAAACTAGACATGCAACAAAATCCTTGAAGCTAGAAAACAGATAAATTAAATGACAGCTAACGAAAGAATCGATACAAAGCTGAAATTTAAGCCTATGGAGTGAGTAGCCAACAGGAGATTAGGTCCAGGTACCTCTGAAGGAAGGAGAACTGTTTGAAAATGGATATAAAGACAGTTAGGCCCCCATAAGCCCTCCTCTCCCCTGCACAACCCGGCAGGGGACTGGAAATTTCCCCCAGAAGAGCTGACTGTAAGCACAGCTAAGGACAGGGGTGAGGCACCCGACTGGAAACAGGGGGAGGGGGTCAGAGCCTGCTCACTGAGATCCACCCCCTTCTCCCTGCAGCCAGGCTCCCAGCGGGGGAAACAGACAGACTTACAGACACGGATTATACAATAGGGAAGCCCCAGGTTACAAGCCCCACCCATGCACTCAGAGCTTCACTTCTCTCCTTTTTTACTTCAAGTGCCTGGATCTCATTTAAACAGAGCCAAGGTTCTCCAGACACTTGAGGAAAGCCCTTTACATGCAAGAGAGTGGGCACCCACACACATCTCAGAAGAAACAAATGTGATGTAGGGAGCAGGAAAAACTTCACCAACCAAAAAAAATATAATTAATACCCACAGAGAAATAAGAGGAAGTGAAGCAGCATGATGCCATAAAAGGCAAGCTTCACAGAAGAAACTCTCAGAAATTAAAAACTAGTGCAGCATCAATATAAGAATCCAATAAAAGAGATGAAAAATAAAGTTAACAGAAATCCCTCAGAAAGTAGAAAAGAAAGACAATGAGGTGGAGAAACGGGACAGAAAAAAATAGGAAAATTAGAGGATCAGTCCTCAAGGTACTATATCCAATGAACAGGTATTCCAAAGAGAAAGAAAACACAGGGACTGCACAGCATGAGTTTCCAGTTTGAAAGGGCCCAACACGTGGACAATAAGATGAATGCCACAAAACACATAGGGATACCGAGGAATATTATAAAAGTTCATAACTCCAGAAGTAAGACAATTCTAAAAGCTTCCAGAGACCAAGGGGTTGGGGTGGGGGGGAAGGGAGGTCATAACAAAGGATTGGGAATCATAATGGTGCTGGACTCAACAGCAACCTTGAAAGTAAGAAGGCAATGGAGCAATGCCTTCAAAATTCCAAGGAAACATTATTCCCAGCCTAAAATCACATACCCAGCCAAACCATCAGTCAGGTATGTGACAGAATAAAGACATTCTCAGACACACATGGTCTCAAAAAATTTATCTTCCTTGGACCTTTCTCAAGATTCCATCGAGGGACTTCCCTGGTGGCACAGTGGCTAAGAATCTGCCTGCCAACGCAGGGGACACGGGTTCGAGCCCTGGTCCAGGAAGATCCCACATGCCATTGGGCAACTAAGCCCGTGTGCCACAACTACTGAGCCTGTGCTCTAGAGCCCGCGAGCCACAACTACTGAGCCCACGCACCACAACTACTGAAGCCTGCGCACCTAGAGCCCATGCCCTGCAGCAAGAGAAGTCACCACAATCAGAAGCCCGCACACCACAACGAAGAGTAGCCCTCACTCGCCACAACTAGAGAAAGCCCACGTGCAGCAATGAAGACCCAATGCAGCCAAAAATAAATAAATAAAATAAACAAATTCATTTAAAAAAAAAAAAAAGAATCCATCAAAATGTGGAAGTACTGGGTTGGCCAAAAAGTTCATTTGGTTAGTGACTATGTTGTTCAATAAAATTCTTGGTGAAAATGAAAAACGTGTCTCTTATTTTCACTTAAAACCGAATGAATTTTTTGGTCAACCCAATAAATCTAAAAGGAGGAAGATCTGAGATCCAGAAATCAGAGAATCAACAAAACAGAGACAAAGGACAAAACAGTGAAGGAATTCCAAGATGGCAACCGAGCAGCAGGTCCCAAGAGCAACCTGTCTACACTGAAGAAAATATGAGGGCTCCCATAAAAAAAATTAAAAATACAAACACATGTGAGGGGTTATCTGACATGTTTTGGAAGCATCAGGAAGATTTATTTGGTGACAAATTAGAAACCGAAACAGAAAACAAAGCAAGCAAAAAAGGAGGGAGTTATTTATTCCAGAAAAAATACAGAGTAAAAGAAGATATAGTCATAATATAAATATAAAATTTGGTTATGAACAATACTTATACAGTCATAATATTTTAATATTTATATACTGTCAAAAACAAAATTTATATTATGTCAATACTGAGAGGATGGGAAAGAAACTGCAAGTGCTAAAGACTCATCTTCCATAGAAGGAAATCAATAAATAACTAAAAAATGTGTGTGTGTGGGAGGGGGTGGGAATCAAACAGTAAAATCAAGCCATTTAGCAATGTGGAAGCTAATGTCAATAGAAATATCCCAGAGCTGGGGGTTCGCAAAAGCCAGAAATTGGAGTGGGAGAGGGAGAGGGCAAGAGGCTTATTGGATTTTTAAAACATTATTTGCATATATTACCTTGCTAAAAATAGAAATTGAATTTACAAAGGAAAAAGTCTCTACTAAGATGACAGGGTGCTCCAAGTGATAGTTGCGAAGGATGCTAACATTTAATAAGCTTCATCATTTCTTTTCCTTTGGTAAAAGGGATTGTAACTTATACAATCAAAAAGAAGGCATCACCTTTGACAACCAGTTGGGCAATACACAAAACGTAAAAATTTTTTCAAGTCCACTGACATCATAACAATATTTTGGGGCATCTAGTCTCCTAACATAATTGAAAATAAGAAAAACCAGCTACGGTGCACAATATGTCTTTGCATTCTTATCACTACAAATGAAAAGCATGTCAAATAAGGGAAATGATTAGCATGTTATTAATAACTCAATACCAAGCAAACAACAAAAATGATTACTGTAAAGACCAGAGAACTTGAAAAAGATTGGTGATGCAAATATAATTTTAAAAGAAGACAAAATGGCAGGTACTCTATGGAAAAAAGCACGCGTGCATGTTGAAAAGGGAACAGGGGGGAAAAAGTTATGCTAGGCAACAAGGGAAATGCATGAAGAACTTTATTTTTTTAACAAAAAAGAAAGATGTTTTAAAATAAAACGAACTATGAATCTCAGCAAATGAATGCTACCAATTAGCTATATATGACAATGAGCGTGCTCAACAAAAGGACTAATCCTCTGGAGTTCTTTAATCATAGGGCTGAAATTTAATTTCTTAAGGAAAAGTATTGAAATTTCTTTATGTGTGTTATATTAAAGCATTAGCTGACACAAAAGCCATTCAAAAGAGTCACATTTGAATAACTGAGCTTATGCCAGTTGTTCAAAGAGTCTGACAGTTTAATAATGCATCGATTTGTTTACTCAGGCATGAAAAGCTCACTTTGTTTTCCAGGAAAGGCATAACAGCAACAGCACAAAAACCATCACCAAATCCATACATTCAAGGACCGTTCAGAAATAATACAAGAAACCAAGTCAACCAAGGACTTAGATCTACAGTGAATAATAAGCTAGTTTTACGTCTGTGGAAATGACAACCTGCAAATCCCAACGTCCAATAGAAATCCTAATTTAATCCTAATCCTAATTTTAAATCCTAATTTAAAGCAAGCAAATTTAAGTTTTGTTCTGCATAGTAAAAGCATCCTCAAAAAGAACCTGTCACAAATACTACTTTATTCAACTGGGGATGCACATACCAGATGGAAAAACAACCCTATCTGACAGCATCCCACAACGAAAACAGCTGATTCCTCAATCCTTCCCTCATTATCCTGATGGGATCTTAGTTTGGTGTCCAAATGCTTTAAATTAACTATATTCTATAAGACAGACACAATGCCACTAAGACTGATTAAATCTTCAAGTTTTCAACTTCCGCAGATCGTCCTGGAAGAAAACTCCACAAGCTTATAAACCCTCTGCCTTCTCTCTGAGATGAGCCAGGGCACATGAGGAACAATTCCTGTAGCCCTCTTGGCAGGATTCCTCAGCAGGGTGATCATGTGATGGGGTACACAGACACCATTCTTCAACCACACCATGTTGATTACAGCGCACTGGCCCACTTAGAGCACATTTTGTACAATGACATGGAAAGAAACCCAAATTGCCTCGGCTTGCTTTGCTACACCACAGTCTTCTTATAGCCACCATTGTTTTTAGTAGATACAGAGTCTTTAATCTGGTTGAACAGAATGTTTCTTTTTCCCATTCTCCATTTCTGGCAAGATTCTTTTTCCTTCTCTTAATAGTGTGAGTTCCTCTCCCTTCTTCTTAGGAATACTCGGTCCTAAGAGAGCTGTGTCCTTTGCTATCACTATATGGCCAATGATCGATTGTCCCCCACTGCCCAAATGTC